CCTCTCGTATATAACACTTATATACTATGTTTAAGGTTACATAAACAATCACGAAATTTTCATTTGATCTTCATAAAATATTCATAAATATATGCACATAAAATGATGAATAAACTCTTTTATTAATTAAATAATAAATATCCTATTACATCTCATGCTTCTAGAACACTATTCCCAACACTTATAAGCTACATATAAAGAAATTCATTTAAACAAGAAATTACATCGGTTAGTTAAAATTTGCAAAATATATTTTTTATTTGATTAAAGAAACATATTAAAAAAATAATAATAATAATTCATATTGAAGAGAAAATCATGGGGAGGATTTTCCTTTTATGTAGAAATATAATATGAAAATTGGAGTAGAGAAAGAGACAGAGAGAACTAATAGAAAAAGAGAGAGAAAGCTTATCTACTATTCACATAGAGCTGGAACACACAAATCTTGCGTAGCTATTTTGTTTCTTATGTGCCCTTTTGTATTAATCCCAATATCTTTTACTTTCATTCATATACAAGGTAATTGTAAATTTGAACTGACTGACATGATCTAGCAGACGAAAGGATAAAATATGGTTGAGTTGCGTGTCCTGAATGAGGAGCATATTGACCAAGACGGAAGCAAAAGCTCAATGGCTATACCCGCTAAGAAACCTTTTTTTCTTTTCAAAAAGGCTAGTCGACCGTCAAAATTGACTTTGGGTTTAGTTTTGCCGTAAAAAAAATTAGAGTGAAGAACGTCAAAGAATTCAAATTATTATCATAACCGTTTACTAAGTATATTGATTAATTATTTTAATTATAACTTAATATATTGAGTTTTTCAAAAATTTTATGAAAATTTTTTGTTATACATCTCAAATAGTTTCCAAAATCAACACAAGAAATCATCTTGATTTTTTTTCCCCTTAAAAAAAAAAAAGAATCATCATGAATTTGAATATTCAAGTGCCCCTACGGATTAGGAATGGGATTCTCTAGCATCAAATTGTCTCCACATTTTGGTTGAAATAATGAAATGCCAATGATTTAGATCATTGTGATCTGGCAATATAGTTTTCTTCTTTTACATATGCAATTCAATGTGTACAATGAACAATTGAAAACTGCAATAATTTTCGGTTAAAAAAATGATGCCGAGGGTTGATTACTGGTAACAATTGAAGGCAACCTTATTGTTTTATCCATGTTGGGTGGCTTTATTTTTTTTTCCCCTCTAAAAGAAGTAATTAAGCGTTTGGTAGATATTCTGGATCCTGATTTATTTATAGTGATTCATGATTCAAAATCAGTGTTTGGTTTGGATGATTCAAAATCTGATGTGTTGTTTTAAACTAGCTCAAATTATGATTCTAAAACCACCTCCCCCCTCTTGATTCAAAGTGATTCAAACCCTTAATTCTGAATCATGGTTTTAAAATTATGATTTGAACCCAAAATTATGAATCATAATTATGGTTCCATAATCATGATTAGAATCACACTGATTTAAATTCTTGTACCAAACATACCATAATTGATCCTATTAGGGTGACGGTCAAGGATATAAACTTATTTTTCCACCTCTTTACAACTCAGGTTTTACCAGTCTAGTATTAGCCCCTTATATCCAACATAGATAAGCGTTGCCACTGTGTTTGGAACACTTTTTTGTGAAGATATGGGGATTCAAACCCTGAATTGTAAATAAAAGAGACATAAGGGGCGTCCTTGCCACCATGCCCAGTTAGATCCAATGCCCTTTTACAGTATTCACTCATATGATACAACAACAACTATAAGTCTTAATCCCAATTTAATTGGGGTCGACTATATGAATTTCACTTTTTCACACAACTCTGTTCAAAATTAAACTTTCTTGAATGCCTAAATCTAAAATGTATTTCTTAACGACTTCGGTCTACGTAATTCTTGGTCTACCCCTCCCTCTCCTAGTATTAGGTATAAGAATGTCCTTTCAAGCACGAACTGGTGCTTCTAGCAGTCTACGTTGGACATGCTCGTACCATCTCAAGCGGTATTCGCGCACCTTATTTTCTATTGGTGGTATACCTACTTTAGTACGAATAACTTCATTCCTTATGCGATCCATTCTCGTATGACCACTCATCCATCTTAACATACGTATTTCTGCCACACTCATCTTAAATATATATTGTCTCTTAATGGCCTAACATTCACTACCATATAACATAGCTGCGCGGATTACAGTCCTATAGAACTTTTCTTTTTAACTCTTTGAATTACTTTTAAACCAGTATTCACTCATATGATACCTACCAAAAATCCCATATTCTAGTTGGTAGATTTGTAAACTCTTGAATTACTTTTAAAACCAGCTTTTAAGGGACCGTCAATGAGGTTTTATCCAATATATTTATAACAATTGGTACTAGAAACATTCCACCATATTGATATTTTATACACTTAGTTGGGAATATGGTGGGCCGCCATGTACGGCGGTTGTGAAGCATATCAATAGATCTCCACTGTAGAATCTACTTATTGAAAAGGAAAAAAAAAAAAAAAAGAAAGTGCAGTTGTTTGGTGCCCATTACTCATGATGTAGTTCTTTAGGTAGGAGAGAAATTTAACCATTTACCTAACATTTTGTGAAGTAATCAATGCAATCACAAGCTCCAAATGAGTGCACTAATAATTCGAGCTCTAACTTTTGAGTTTTGGGTTTTGCCTAATGGGGGATATCAAATACCTCTTTGGAATGCACTAATAATTATGATTATTGGATTCTCCCAAAATTTACCTTTTTTCAAGCTATATGCTTGAAGCACTAGTGCTTGAATAATTGCTACTCAATAATATATGCAAATTTGAATTTCATAAAGAAAACAAACAAAACAAAAGGATTCGTTGGAAATACATCTAATCACAATGAGATGAAAGTCCGTATCAAATAAAAAACCACCAAAAACTCACGTGGAGTTGATAAATTCTCAAATGTTATAACAAAAATATGTTAAAATGAGTCCTCAACCATAATAATTTTCTTTTGATTGTAACAACCATAACAATCAAGACTACAAGCAAAAAAAAAATAAATAAATAAAATAAAGGTTATGTCTTTGCCCTTAAAGAAAAGTTTGTCTTTCAAATTTGTCCAGCATGTACCATAATTAAAACATGTTTGATACTCTACAGCACTTAAAAAAATAATAATTTATGAATAAATAACATCTCAAATGTTATGACAAAATATGTTAAAATGAGTCCTCAACCATAATAATTTTCTTTTGATTGTAACAAACCATAATAATCAAGGTTATGTCTTAAAGCAAAAAAATTACGGTTATGTCTTAAAGCAAAAAAATTATGGTTATGTCTTAAAGCAAGAAAATTACGGTTATGTCTTAAAGCAAAAAAAATTACGGTTATGTCTCTGCACATAAAGATAAGTTTATGTCTTTCAAATTTGTCCAGCATATTCCGTAATTAAAATATGTTTGATACTCTCCAGCACTGAAAAAATAATTCATAAGTAACACTGTTTTCTTTATCATTGTCACATCAAAGATTACCATATAAATAATAATAAAATGTACTCTTATAATGTTAAGTAATTACATAATTGCTAGAATAATTTCACGTAATAATGGCATAACAAAATTATAAAAAATAATATTAGTTGGATAAATTTTATTTTTGCTCTTTAAATTTTAGTCTATTTGTCACTTTACCCCGAACTTTGAAAAATGATTTGGACACCATCTAAATTTTAAAAACGTTATTAATTTTGTCCTTTCTATTTATTTGATGGACGGATTTGATGATACAATAATGACTCCAATAATAGCTTAATGGATTATTTCATAAATGTCCATGTAATCATTATCACGTCATCAAATTCGTCTATCAAATAAACAAAATGAGCAAACTTAATAATGTTTTAAAGTTTAAATAAGTGCAAATTAGTTTCAAAATTCAAGGAAAAAAATTTTAAAGATATCGAAGTTTGAGTGGCAAAAGTAATATTTATCCTCTTAGTTTTGGGGAATATTTATGGCGATTAAAATAAAATAATTTTACTGTTTGGGGGCTTTTTTATGAGAAAAGTTCAAAATTATAATAGTGATATTTTTATTATTAACATTCTTAATCATAACTGTATTTTTGTTTAAAAAGATCAACTTAGTCAATTTAAATAAAAAAAACAATACTGAATAAAAAGTAAAATATTGATTTCACAATAAATTTAAAGGTCATTTCTATTTTTTTTTCTAATTATTGGTTTGATTTTAAACTAGGGTACGGGTGAGCATAATTTTGTGACGCACAATAAATTATTATGACTATAAACTTTTTACTATTATTATTATTTTTGTTTTGAGAAATATAGTAAATAGAACAAAGTTAAGGGGTGGCAAAGCAATATAAAGATATAGGGGGATTGAGTAACATCATTCATAGCTGCGTGGGGGGAAAGCTACTGAAAGGAAGGGAAAAAGTGGCAGACAAAATCCAAAGAGAGAGTGTGGATAAGGGGCGTCACGAGATACTAAAATAAATTAATAAATTCTTTCCTTTTATTTACTATTTTTTAAGCATTTTTTTGGTAAGACGTTATCAAATTGATCCATTTCTAACTGTTAATTTAATTAAAATCATAATAAATAGTAAAAAAAAATAATTTTTAATATATATTTTACGGTTAAAAATATTATTTTTAAGATTTTTTGCATGAGCTAGTAGGAAAATTATTTTTTTCTTTATTAAAAAACAAATATTTTTCCTTAAAAAACCCAAAACTATTATTTCATTCAATATTTAATTCCTTAAATATAATAAAATAATTGTCAAACAGCTCCACTGTCCACGTGTCACGTCAGCTTCGTCGTCTTCGCTTTCAAGAACGGCATAGAAGCAACACGAAGCGCCACTTACTGAAGGGAGAAACCCAAAAAGAGAGAGAGAGAGAGAGAGAGAGAGAGAGAGAGCTTTTTGACAATTCAGAGAAACAAAAAAAAAAAAGGAAAAAGAAATCGATAAAAGAAAAACCCACTTAACCAAAAAAAAAAAAAAAGAGTTAGGGATTGAGAGAAATTAGGGTAGGGTTTTTGGAGTTTGAGTTTGATCTCTAGTGATTCCATCTTCAATTTGGGATTTTTGTTTTTTGTTTTTTGTTTTTTGTTTTTTGGAGATGTACATATCTTCCATGCGAAAATCATTCAAGGACTCTCTCAAAGTGCTCGAAGCTGATATTCAGCATGCCAATACTCTGTAAGTTTTTCAAATTATTGTTCTAAACTGGTTTCTCTCTCTCTCTCTCTCTGTTTTTTTTTTTTTTTTTTGGTTTGATGGATAATTGCGGTGAGAATTGAGATGATTTTTTTTTTCTTTTATCATTCTCCTTTCTCGTAAAAAAAAAAAGAACAGTGATTTTTATCTCAATGTAGGTTTCACAAATACGCCACGAGCTTAAATTTGATATTTTTTTTTCTCCTTTTCTGGGTTTGTGTTGAAAAAGCAACACATTCTTCTTTTAAACGTTCCTCTGTATTAGATTTTTCTGTTACCAAATTTAAAAATCGAACTTTTTCCTTTTTCTTTTTCTTTTCCTTTTCAATTTTGGCGTTTGTGTTCTATTTCTACTGAAAGTAAAAACGACAGTGAAATGAAGAATCTTGATGATCAGTTCTCTTTAAACAGTTGAGCAAATTCTTTTTCCCCACCAATTTAGGTTTCTCCGGTCCTTCCCATACAGAATGCACTGCTGTGCAGAGTGCTTTACCTTCAATTTTCATCTGGGCAAGCTGGAAACTTTTTCGTGGATTTTTTTTTTTGTTTCTAAATATAATAATTTTATGAGTGTCACTGGGTTTTACCCCTAGTCTAATACTGTTATCAATTTGATTTTTTTTGTCCTCTCTCAAATTTTGTTAATTAATTTTTTTGGGCCTCGTAAACTGTGTTTAGATTCTTCTGGTTTTCCTGTAGGGCCTATCATGCTTTTATTTTGAATATATATACATATGTATGTATGTATTATATATGTTTATGTGAGAAAGAGATTAGATTATTAAGGAGAATGGGATTGCTTCTTTTTCAGTTTTTGCATTATCCTTGGTAAATTGATCAACTTCACGTGGCATGGGCCGTTCCACCTGCTTTTGCTCTTCTCTCATAGTTTTACTTCATAGAGACGCCACTGGGTCCTCCTTTTGATATTATCTCATGATCTCATCGCATTTGTATTGTTTAAAACTGTTGGTTCGATTTTTTTTTTTCTATTTTTTTAATAGTTGAATTTAGTTCGTTTGTTGACATGTGAATCCATCTGTAATTTTGCAATAGACTGAATCTTCATTTTCTTTTTTCTTTCATTTATCATTATTTTTAAACAATGTTTTAAGTTTCATTTCAAATGGGATATTCCAATCTCAAGCTGTTGATGAAGTTCAATTTGACGAGATGTGAAGTTGTTTACTTCATCTTAACGGTGGTTTTAAGCTGGCATTTTCCAATGAAATGAATCTGGTGAGATGCAGGGCTTCGGATTTTCCACGGGAGTACGATGGCGCCTGCCTTCAAATGAGGATGTCCTACAGTCCAGCCGCGCACCTCTTCCTTTTTCTGGTGCAATGGACCGACTGCAACCTCGCTGGAGCTCTTGGACTGTTGAGAATTCTGATTTACAAGGTTTAATTTTGTTCCTCTCCATTGATGTGTGCATATATATTTTTATATGTTTAAACTTATTTTCAAGTCGCGGATTAGGGTGACCTAGGCTCTGTGGTCCATTCGGCAGGTTTATGTGGACGGCACAACCACCATGTCTACTCATGAAAGGAAAGCAAGTATTAGAGAGTTCTATGGTAAATTTAGTGTTCCAAGTTGTTTGTTTTTATGGTTTTGGTGTGTCCTTGATATGTATCATCTCCACTGATGCACGACTCTCTGTAATGGGCAGCTGTAATTTATCCTTCTTTGCTTCAACTTCAAAAAGGTGTCACTGACACAGAAGATAAGAAGCAGAAGGCTGTATGTATGGAAAGGTACAGGAGACGGGATGACGATGAGAATCGACAGTTTTCGGATATAGACATTGAAAGAGAAGAAGAATGTGGTATATGCATGGAGACAAATAGTAAGATTGTGTTGCCCAACTGCAACCATGCTATGTGCCTGAAATGTTACCGGGAATGGTATTGCTAACTCAATCCTCTATCTCTCTTTATAATTCTCGTTTCCTTGAAATTTAAGATGGTATTAATTTCTTGAGATTGTTGGAAGTATTTGTATAAGAGCTCTCTGTTTTGTACATGCTTCTGGTACTTTGATGCTTTAAGAATTGTGTGATTGTCAAGGGTCCAAGCCCTGATATTGGGGACATTTATGGAGTTTAGGTTTCACTTTAAGTTTTATATGCATTTGTGCATGTAGGGCATCATTCTTTACTCTTCATTTGCCTTATTTTAGTAAAAAGGAATAAAGGTGTTACGTAATTCTTCAAACACATTGGCGGCTTTAAAGTTTTTGTCCTGATATTAGTTTGTTCATTTATTATATTCCTGGAGACTGGCTCTTTCACATTTTTCCTTTTCAGAACCTATTATTTATCATGTCTTGTGAGTAAAATTTGAAATCTTATCAAGTCAGCTACTTTGTTGTTTTCTCTTTCCCTGAAAAAGAACTTATTTTATTTCTCGTGGGTCAAATTTGAAACTTTTGTCCTCTCAACCATTTTGTTGGTTTCTCTTATTCCCAAAGTGTGGGAAAAAAGATTTTGATGATAGTCACGTGGTTAGAATGTTCAATTGGTTATTAATTCCGTTGCCGAGGATTGCTTGCTAGAGTTTAGTGTATTCGATGTTTCTAGTTGCATGTAATACTGGAAAATCTTGTCTAAGCTTGTTATATTTATATAAGGAAACTCCGATTGTAGTTATTTATATGTCAAGATAGGACATTTTTATTTATATTAGAGTTAAAGAGGAAGATTAAACTCTGGGTGGATTTAGTCTGCACCTATATATAACTCTAGGTTTCTAAGAGCATCTCTTGCAGGCCTTGGGCCACGATATCAAGTGTTTCTTTTGTAATAACTTGTTAGTTAATTTGATTTATGAATTTTGCAAAACATTACAGGCGGACAAGATCACAGTCATGCCCTTTTTGTCGCGACAGTCTTAAGAGGGTGAACTCGGGTGATCTCTGGGTATTTACCGACTGCAGAGACATAGTTGACATGGCAACGGTGACTAGAGAGAACCTGAGGAGGCTGTTCATGTACATAGATAAGTTGCCTCTTATCGTTCCTGATAACCTTTTTGACACTTACGATTCCCATCTAAGGTGATTAGTAACAACCAAAATCCACCATCTCTGTGGCATTTGAATGGACTAGTTCCTCTTCTTTTGCTTACCATAAGGACCGAATATTTTTCGGCAAAAATTTAGATTGGTTTCTTCCCACTTCTGATGAGAAGAAGCCAGCCAGATTTATTGTTGGCTGGTGGGTGAAGATAAGATAGTCTATAAAATTGTATCTAAAAGCACAATTTGTACATGCTTGTACAGCTCTGAAGTTTGCATATATCAAAATGCTTTGCATATTCTCTATCTGCTTTTATGGGAAAGGTTAGAATTGAAGTTGTTTGCTTGTATGACTATTGCAAAATGAAAAACGCTCGGGGTACTACCAGTGATGTTCAACATCATAACTAACCGTAGATATAGTCCCCATATGCTGTGAGATCCACATTCTATTAGTACGTGGCGTTAAATAGAACTAGAACATCTAGCATTGTTCATTTGGAAACAACATGACCACTAGGTGGTTTGTCCTTAAAGAATTGGTTGATATGGAGCTCTTCAAGAGTTATATAACGTTGCATAATGCTCAAGAATTGCCAAACTTTCTCCGATACAAAAAGGATGGATTCAAAGTTATTCGTGTTTTCTAGGGTTGTAATTCTTGGTCCATCATAGGTAAAAAATGCACGTGGCCCAAAACAACTACTGTACTTCGGGAAGTCTTTTTTTTTTTTTTTTTTTTTTTTTTTTTGGAACAAAATTTTAAGACGTTAAAATATCCTTGGTTGGGTTTGAATGCCAAGTCTCCTACTTCGATGTGTTCCTTGAATCACATGACGCTTATCCATCAGTGAACGGCAATGTTGTCAGTAAACGGACTGATTGGTTCTAACTTCTAAACTTTCACATCTATTATAAAATTACTAAAAAATAAATGAACAAGAACCACCCAGGTCATAAAAGAAACAAGCAAATATATGAAATAAGTTGTCCCTCAGGTAAAACACTTAAATCCAACCAAGGAGACCACATTGTAAAAATCGAATTCAGCTTCAATTTTTTTTTTTTTTAATAATAGAAAAGTTCAAGAAGGGATGATTAACATTAGCAAACCCCGTTAGCAAAGGGGTGTTGTAAACGTTATGTTTATTGAAAATCCTACAAGTGGGTCTTATCCTAATCCTACTGAAGACCTTCACACTTAATATGCAGAAGGGATAACCCATCGCCGGAACCTATGACCACTACACTCAAATTCAGCCACATTAAACGACCAAACCATGATCCAATCCGCCTAAGGATGAAAATGGAAAGGAAAAGAATGACGTGCATAAACAAACAAGATAGAAGATACTGTACGTGAATTGCGTTATCACGGCCTAAAAACAACAAAACCAAAACCAAACGGACGGTAAAATCACTCAAAACGACAAATGGGTGGCCGTGCTTTTTGATCCGTTAGTTCATTAATTTAAAATTTAAATTTAAATTTAAATTTAAATGTAATTTTATATAAATTTTTTTTATTGTAATAAAAAAATTAAATATAACAGTTTTTAAATTTTTTTTATTATAATAAAATTTAAAATGTAAAATTTAATAAATAAAATAAACGGAATTTTAAGTGTTGTTTGATTAGGGTACTCAAATTATATTTCATAATTTATTATAATATTTTTTCTCATAAAAAATATACATAAATTAAAAATAATTTTAATATAATAATTTTAATCCATTAACTAAACGTCCTATTATAAATTTAAAATAAAAAAAAAAGATTTTTTTTCAAAAAACAAGAGAAGAGAGAGAATTTAAACACAAGCATAAAACATTCCTATCTACAACAGCGAAGTGATATAGGAACCGCAGCGGCGTCATCATCAGAATTTAACAGCAACACCAACGTTATACTCCGTACACCAGACAAACTTTCTCTCTCCTATCTCTCTCTCTCTCTCTAAACTAGGTTTAACCGATATCTATTATTGTACGTTGTCGTTATTTAGCCCACAAACGAAAGCCATTCTGAACGCTTCAGTTTTGCAAATATATATCATAATACATATATTTGTAGAGAGAGAGAGAGAGAGAGCGAGAGAGAGAGAGAGATCATGGGTTGGAGAGGGGAAGAAGAGAGAGAGGAGGGAGTAATGGCGACAGATTTTTTCGGTCGTATACCGATGAGCCTCACGCTTCCAGGCGCCGTCAGATTCTCTCTCAGTTCCCTCAAATCAAACATCTCTTCGGCCCTGATCCGTTCGCCTTCCTCAAGGTCATTCTGATGATAATATACATATATATATATATATATTTCCCTGATAGATTGCTATTTTGATTGACATTGTTTTTTCATGGATTCTTCGTGCTCTTTTCTGTTTCGATTCAGATCTGAGGAATAATGTCTCTTTTCTTACATTGTAGTTTTTGTGGATTTCTATGCAATGCCAATGCGTTCATGGTTATTTGCTTTGTTTTCTGTATTTGCGTTGAATTCGATTGAGCTCAGATCTCCTTTTCGGTTTTGTTTCATGTTTTTTTTTTTTTGGGAAATTTATGACTCATTGTTTTTCATGTTGAAGAATTAACTATCTTCAGCAATAATAATAAAATGATTAAGAGTTACGTTCACTTTCAGTCCCGCAGCGTATCCCCAATATAAGATCGACCACCATGCTAACTCTGCATCAGGACAATAATTAGGCTCCAGAAAGTCAAGATTTTGGTCTTATCACGATATCTGTTTGGGTTTTGTCAATCGGACTATACAAAAATATTGAATTTTTAGATGTCTTTCGTTGCATCTACTTTGTTCATGTTTGGCCCTGATCTTTTAGGCCCGATAGGACTTTTAGTACAAACAAAGAACCTATAGTCCCTTTCTCTGCTTACGCCTTTTTGTTCTTTAACTCCATCCCGTATCAAAAACGTACTTGGTAAAGGACAAATGCTTACAGAAATAAATGAAGTCTTCCCCAGTTTATTGATAGTTGTTCCAAATGTCCAGCAGGGTTTAAAGACTTTCGAATGTTCTAAGTCTACTTTATTCAGTATCATCTGCCAGATGTATGATAGTTGTATATGCTTTTGGCGAGGAATTTGCAGCTATAATATATGCTGAACTACTGCATTTATGATTTTGTTCTTCTTGCAAAGGAGTGTGTGCAGTACATTTCTATATGCGCAATGCTATACAATGTCGTCGACTTTTAAACCAGTTACAAATTTGTATGTTAATTCTAGGACCCCATAGTTTATGAGTAGTTGAACCAGGACCCAATTTTAAACCAATCACAAATTCTCATTTTAACTTTTAGGACCCATAGAATATGAGCAGTTGAGCTAGGGACTCATTGGAGCCGGTTGGTTTTTTATTTTTTATTTTTTTTTAATATAAACAATAATCATGTCAGTTTTGGGAACCATTTAAGTGCTTCATTTGTCAATGTTTGTTCCAACGTTTGCATTGTTCTTGTTCTGCTTTTATTTCATTGTGGTTGCCTTGGCTCTAGCTTGTTTAATCTTTCTTGATCATGTACCTGAAATAAACCTGTGACGTGCAGATAAGCGTGGTTGTTTTGCTTCAGCTTTGACAATGCAGGGTGGCTTAAGATACTTGTGATAGCCTACTTTTTTTTGGATCAATTCTCAACCACAATCTTTTCTTAGCCATCCACGAGCTAAGCCACAACCTTGCATTCTCAAAGCCAGTCTACAACCTCCAACCTTCCTATTGGGGTTCCCATGTCGGTCACTTTCCAGAGCTAAGCCCCGTCTGCCTCAAACAAAAGCCCCCTGGTTCGTGGGAGTTTGTCAACTTCGTCATTCAAATTGCTCTTAATGCTGCCATGGTCTATTTCTGGAGTTGGAAATTTTTACAGAAATCAAAGAATATTGAGCCTAACTCATTCTAAAAAAATCGGGTTGTTAAGGGAAGATTGTCCTCACCTTATTAAGTGAATCATGCCAATATCTCCAGCTAATGTGAGATTCTAATACGCCCCCCTCACGCACAACGTGGACCATGTCAAACCGCTGCAAATAAGTCGATATTGGGAGGCTGTTAGGATCCTGAGCTCAAAAGAAATAGAAAACTAGCAAGTATTTGAATGGGATTCAACTAATAGTTTTTTTTATTGAATATCAAACAATTTACTAACATCAGTGAGCTCAACGAAACTCACAATCAGCAAGAATGGAAAATACAAGAAAATAAAGATAGAGAGGGATTTTTGAGAAACCCCACAACCTCCCAAGCTAACAGCCGAAAACACCAGAAATTCTCCACAAATATGATCCTCCCCTCCCTAGCAACTAAACCCCCTATTTATACTCTCCTTAAGAGTATTGAAAAAGACTTCTAAATATTAGATTCCTAACATTACCCCCGCCCCAAAGAATCACCTTGTCCTCAAGGTGAAAATCAAGAAATAAAATTGAAAAATAACATCTAAATGATTGAGAATAAAAGGCTTTGTTAGTTCCTCGATTTGAGTCCCCAAATTGATGTTGTCCTTGTAAGACACGTCTTCAAATTGGAGCAAATCAATTACTTTCTTCTTCATCTTCTTTGTATCTTGGAAAGCAGCTACAAAGTCCACCAATTCAGTTGGAGCCCCCTGATCAAGCTTATCAATGACCATAAAAGCTTTTGACAAACCCATCATTAACAAAGAAGTTTCATTCTCAACTAACCAGGTCTTCGTCATTTCAATCTCTCTGTCACCAATTGCTTCATACCTAGTTACAGACTTACTATACCAAGTCCTAAATGTGTTGGAATTTTGAGGCCCAACCACCATTGTACCATAACTAGGCCCAATATTGTTGTAATTATGAGGTCCAACCCTAATCATGCCAAAATCGACCCAGTTCACTCCTGAATCACGAGACCCAGTCCACACTTTTGGGAACACAGCCCCCAAATCACTAACGGTGGTCCCAATAGTTCCGGAATTCAAGAACCATGCCTTACATTCACTGGAATCAGCCCTAACCTCGCCGGAAACAACCTCCACAGCATCATAATCATGAGACCCGCTCCAAATTTGGCCGGAATTTTTGAAAACAACACCAATCTCACCGGGATCAGTCTTAATGGAGTTGGAATTGCGGGACTCCACTACAATCCCGCCGGAAGCTGCCTCCGCAGCACCGGAATCAACCCCTTTCTTACCGGAATCGTGAGACCCTATCCAAACAGCAGCCAAATCGTCGAGCCCAGCCTCCATCGCTCCGGAATCTATCTCCGTAGCACTAGAACCAGCCCCTTCCACTCCAGAATCGCGAGGCCTGGTCCAAACCGGGCCGGAATCAGCCCCAACCACGACCAAATCAAGGCTGGGTTCCCTATTCCGAGGGTGCCCATGCCGTCCCAGCCTCGGAGCAAGCTCTTCTCCTCTAACTCCGGCTCCCACTCCACTTCCCGTCGCCAACCAAGCTCCGCCGCCCTCTCTCGACGGTGGCGACCTCCTTCTGCCCTCCTCCAGTCGTTGAACAAACCCACGCGCTGCAGATCTGGACCACCCAGCCCCAAATCGCGACGGATCTCGCTCTCCTCCGTGAGACCCACGTCTCTCCGGCGTCAGAACTCCCTCTTGTGGCCTTGATCTTCGTGAATTGGCGCTTCCCGGCGAAGATCCGCCCGATTTGGCACCTCCACTCCACCTGGGTCCACACGATCTGGGCTTTCCTCGCCCCGAGGCGCGCGATCTTACCTATCCCCGTCCCGTCGTTTGCCGTCGCGACCCAACTCGGCCTCCCTGGCCATCGGCCGCGCCACCAGCAGTGCCTCCATCCTCCGCAGCGCTGCCTGCAAGTCACCCATCTGGGTCCGAATCTTCCCCACATGGTCCCGGAGTTCCCCCATACTCCCTCCAGAAACCTTATGATTAGCTCTTAGAGCAGCCCTAAGTTTCTCTCTCAACTCAAAGAGCTCCGTGGATCGTAGATGCTCTGATACCATTGTTAGGATCCTAAGCTCAAAAGAAATGGAAAACCAGCAAGTATTTGAATGGGATTCAACTAATAGTTTTTTTTTTATTGAATATCAATCAATTTACTAACATCAGTGAGCTCAACGAAGCTCACAATCGGCAAGAATGGAAAATACAAGAAAATAAAGATAGAGAGGGATTTTCAAGGAACCCCACAACCTCCCAAGCTAACAGCCGAAACACTAGAAATTCTCCACAAATCTGATCCTCCCCTCCCTAGCAACTAAACCCCCTATTTATACTCTCCTTAAGACTATTGAAAAAGGCTTTTAAATATTAGGTTTCTAACAGAGACCCAATATTGTAAAATTGGGCATGCTCTGATAACATTTTTATAAAAATCAAAAGATATTGGGCCTAACTCACCTTAGCAAAATCGACTTATTAGGGAGGATTATCTTCACCTTATTAAGTGGATCATACTAATATCTCCAGCCAACGTGAAATTCTAATAGAAATCTCTTGCCTATCTGATCCAGTCCACATTTCTTGGTAGTGGTATGCACCCCATAGCTGGCGACTTCATATCGGAGCATTACGTGTTCAAGCCTGAGCAAGAGACTTATTCTTACTTTGGCCCGCTTAACCTTCTGACTTGGGAGTGTTGGTTACCACAGTGAACACCGTGATTTCCCCAGGATTCCTGGGAGTAGGCTCCACAAGGTGAAAGAGATTTCACCGGAGTACTATGAGAGTCTGGAGTCGTATAAATCTTGGACCCAGGTCATTTACATGTACATTATGGACCATACAGTTGGGGCCATTCAGCAGAATGAAGAGGAAGGCAAAGAAATCCGAATAAGGTGTTTCTTCTCTCTTTGATTAATTATTCCTTCCAATTTTGTTTCTCTTCTAGTTATATAGTTGAGCTGTTCCAATTTCAATTCTAGTTATTCAAATATTTACTAATGCTTTCCTTGCAACATTTTCGAAGAAGTAGAATCTCCCATGTTAGTTTAGACTGCGTTTTGTCGTTTGTTCATTAATTTATAACAACTCACAAGAAATATCTGCGTCAAGTTGTTTGATGTTCATCTTGCAAAAGCACATAAAGTACAACTGTACTACTATGACCTCTCTCTCTCTCTCTCTCTCATGCACACAACAAAAGAAGCCAACTTTACAACTCATTCAATTTTTTGTTTTCTTATTCTTGTGCTGAGAACATCCCACAGACAAACGAAGGAAATGTTCTGCTTAAAACAACACATAACCATTAGATTTGATTAAAGTTGAGGAGCATGGGAATGTTATTTGAACACCCCTTCTAAGCTATCGAATAAACTGTTGAATGTGTGGAGCTTAATTATTATCCTCGACGCAGGGTTAGTAGGCACCAAGTTGGGTAGAGAAAATAGAGAAAAAAAAATAGAGTAAGACGTGAGGTTATAATTCTCTTGTACTCGTCTTCTCCGTGGTTGAAGGTGGATGTAGCTCCCATATATAGAGTGTGAACAACTATAAATTTTGTGCGCGCTATGTTGTCTCTTTATTTTATTGCTCTAGTTAGTGAAGGATTAGAGCTTTAATACATAGGAGAAACAGATTCACAAAGATTACACTGCAAAAGAAGGGCAATTATGTTGGTAACCGAATCGAATTCGAATGCGGAAGCGTGGCAGGGAGGTGGATCGTGTATAATAAAAATTTCATAAAATTTTTGAGATACTCTATAGATTATATTAATTTATGCACGAATAAATTAATCACATTAATTTATATATCGAGAACTTAATTAGGATAAATACTTGAAGGCCGACTCGGATGATAACTTGAGTTCTTTGACCACGAACAGTTCTTGCTCCAAGTTTTGTGTTTAGAAAACTAAAATCTTCCACGTCGATTCATTGATTCCACGTAGACATGTGTGTGGGCACACGTGAGACAAAACAGGTTTCAATAACACTCGAATTTCCACAAACACCAACATATGCACGATGTGAAATTTTTGGGAGAAAAATTTTTTCCTCTCTTTTTCCTCTTTAAGAATTTCGGCCACCTTAACTCTTAGGGTAGAAAATTGTGTTTTTAAAATTGTGTTCACAATTTTCTATCATTCTCATGTGGGCACACGTGAGATAAAATAGGTTTGAATAAACACTCGAATTTTTCCACAAACACCAACGCATGCACGATGTGGAATTTTTTGGGAGAAAAAATTTTCCTCTCTTTTCCTTTTGAGAAATTCGGCCACTCTTACAAGTTAGGGCAGAAAATTGTATCATTCTCATATTTAAAGAGTAGAAGTCAAACTTCAAAAAGGAATCAAATCTCTATCTCCTATTTGAATTGGAACAAAAAAAATCTCCTACACCTTATCCCTTAAGTGGCCGGCCACCCTAAGGTTTCCATCCCTTGTGTGTGGCGCTAATACTGGATAATTTCTCCCTTGTGTGTGGCGCCAATTCTGGATAGGGAAGGAAGAGAAATCGTCATTTATCTGTAGTCCAATTTTAATTCAAATTCGAATTCGAATTTAAGTCAAACTTAAATTAATTTGAATTCTAAATTGAACAACTTATCAAATAAGTTTAAAAGGATAAATTTAAATTATGTTCACAATTCAAATTCAAATTTAAATAATCACATTATTTAAATAATAATTAATTATCAATTAATTATTTTTCGAGCATTTAATTTATAGAATTCCATAATTCTAAAATTCTCATTTTATCCTTTGTGTCTGGTAGAATTACAAGGACGACGCGGGGACTTATGGACCTATAATCCCGAACTCTAATAAAATTAATAATTAATTAAACACTTTAATTAATTAATCAATTCTATTAATTCCAATAGTTACTCCACTATAAACTTGGAATTGAACTCTCAAAATTATAGACATTAATTACTTATAAACTGTGAAGTGTCCATTTGATATAGTCATTGCATATATATCAATCATGCATAAATAATTCATAATTAGAGTCATGTAGAATCCATTAACCTCTCTAATTATATATGCATCATTGAGTACCATTGATTCTCTAATGGACAGTGATTCATAAAACACATTTATGAACCAGAGTGCTGTTACTAATCCAAGTACCGAATCAACACTCAAGAGAATTATTTATCTACTTCTTTCTCAAGAAGGAATGGATTCCATCTCGTATAATAACATTCTCGGCTACCTATTTCATCATGTCTTCAAAATACAAGGAATATGATTCAGGGTCTCAGAATCCGTACCGAGTAAATCAAGACATAAATCCATAAATAGGAGTTTGTTAAGAACTCATGATTAAGATCATTTTATATATGACCATCGGTAGACTCAATTAGAATTTCTATGCTTAACGAAAATTATTAGAAATTCATATTGTGTCTGTGTCCATGTTCCACACAATCTCATTATGCAAAATACACTCATTTAATATCTCACCATATTAACAGTGCAGATAGCACCGTTCCATTCTAAATGGGAATGACATGTATTAATAATGTTTTAATTAAAGATTCTGAACTTTAATTAAATTCATTATGAACAATGTTTTTTATTATTATTCTTAAACAATATCTTCTTGTATATAACACTTACATACTATGTTTAAGGTTACATAAATAATCACGAAATTTTCATTTGATATTCATAAAATATTCATAAATATATGCACATAAAATGATGAATAAACTATTTTATTAATTAAATAATAAATATTTTATTACATCTTATACTTCTAGGACACTATTCTCAACAAACTATAGGATCCAATTACAACGCTAGAAATGCTCATAGCTCAAATTTTCACATCTGAAAGTAAAGCCGCCATAAACAAAGTGAAAGCTGCGCATAAAGCAAGTATGCTTCTTCTAGAGGAGGCTTGATTCTTTGTTTCACTTGTTTGTCTGAAAAAATTAGAGATGAAAATCAAATTCTATTGCCCAAAATGGAAATTTCCACTACTAGTTAAGAAGAAAATCTTACCTTCCAGGCATTAGTGGTTTTGGAGGCCAACCCCTGCTCAGCACCAACATACGGTGCCGGTTGAACTCCATGCTTGACGAGCGGAAGCCTCGCCTGAGCGTACTCGTCATCGCTATCATCGTCTTTGTTTGGCCCTATAGATCTTAAAACCATAGCCATTAAGATTGAAAGGCCCTGCACATTGGTAAAAAGTTGTCAAAAAGAGTATATAAAAATGTTGCCCCATTCTTGTTTCCTTCTTTATCTTTGATCTTCATTTGATTTTTCATGCCACATAATTAGCATTCGGCATTTTAACAAGGATAGATATATACATCCTAATTCCATGGACAGTGTAATTTGAGGAGAATATTGGAGTACCTGTGCTAATACGATCAATAAGCCAATCCATTTAAATGTCTCAAAGTTTGACTTAACAAAATCTTTAAAATCCTTGAACCTTCCTGTAGGATCGTTTGGTAAATCCTGAAAGATGAAAAGCCAAGTTGAAATATGAAATAGGGGAAACATAAATTTGGAAGAATATTGTGGCCTATAGTTTGAATGAAAAGTTTGATCTCAAGAAATATACCTTTTCCCAGTCAGAATTTAATAGTATCTCTGCTCCAATTGCAGTCTCTAATAAAAGAAGAGAGAATATAATCGTCATATACTAGTTGGGTCAAGGAAGTGGTTGCATGCATGGGCTAGTCATAGATCCACACTTATACTTAAGGACTGTTTATTTCGCTAATTCGAGTTTGTAATTCGAGTTGAGATGTGATTTTATGTGAGAATGTTTTACTTTAGTAAAAAAGTTTTTTACGGACCCAATTCAAAGATCCTCCAGGAAATGCGCCCCAAATACCAACCAAACTCAGTTCTCTTTTGGAAAAGAAGACGTCTTCGATGACGACGATGGCGAGGAGGAGAAGGAGAAGAAATGGTGGCATCTGTTATATAGGGTTTTTTTTTTTTTGGCTACGAAAATGATCATGAAAGAAAAGAAAAGAACAGTTGGGTTAAGGCCTAAAACATTCAAGACCTTAGAATAAGAGAAAGGGAGATGGAGACAAATTTCCTCATGTCATATTCATCATTTCATCTTGTGCAGAAAGGATATGAGAAAAATGAAAAGCTAAAAACATTTCAATTAAGATGTTGTTTTCAAGATTACTGGAGGACTTCCTATTAAAATAAAAAAAATAAAAAAATAAAAACATTTATCTGGTCCAAAATGGAACTTCAACATTGAACAAAAAACAGTAAAATGCAAAATAAGCGAAAAAGGATACACAAGAGAGGCAACAACTATTTGCAACACTAGCAGCAAGATGGCCCACACACGTTATTGCACACAAGGTGACTCCAGCAGCAAGAAAAGTGTATATAAACCTGAAATTTTTGAAAGAATAATGACTGATTTCTGTTCATCAAACTGTTTAAAACAGTGTACTTAACATGATAACATCCTAGTGTAAAATTGACATCACTGAGAACAACATATTATTCAACGTTTGAATTTTGATTGAAGAAAATGAATCTTTTAAGTTTGGTTGAACAAGGTTCAGTTTAAAAGTATTAGTGCATGAAAAAGCAAAATAAAGAGAAACTGCCTGTTAAGGAAAAAAAAAAAAAAAGAAAAAAAAGAAAAAAAAAAAAAAAGAGTTATTTACCATGGAGTAGTAGTCTTGAAATCATCAAATGAAAACTCCTCCATTTCCCTCTGCCAAGCTCTGATCATCCAAAGACCATAGAGAATCATCGCGATTCCGACGATCCCCAGAGTTGAATTCACTAGTTTGAGGAATGACTGGAGGCAAGTTCTAGCAAGTTTGGGCGCCATTTTTTGTTCTTGTCAACAAAATAAAATAAAAACAAAAAAATACCACCTTTAAGTTACATGAATTAGTATGGCAAGCAGACTACCAATCGAGTGAGGAATCGAACAACAATACAGTTTTTCCACTTCAAAATCCAGGCAACTACATGAGAAATAACACTAGATACAAGCCGGGGGTGGTTGATTGCTGTCTCAAGAAAAGTGGCTTGTGAGATAATGACTCAAAGCTGGGAACTTTCTTAGAAACTGAGTTATGCGTCGTTTTGTTTGGTTGTTCACAACTTTCGTTGTCAGTGGACCATGTCAAAATATTTTGGCATGTTTGTCGTTGTTCAAAAATAATTCTAAAAAAACTTTATTAATAATAATACAAAAGGAATCGTCAATTCGTTGCTGTGGTGTAGTGGTTATCACGTTAGTCTTACACACTAAAGGTCCCCAGTTCGATCCTGGGCAGCAACATTTTTGTCTTCTAATTCTTTTCTTTTCAATGCTATTTGTGCTTATTGTTTTTGTTGTTTTTCTACTTTAAAGGAAAACAAGATTCTATTTTCTTTTCCAAATACGTTAGTATTAAACGAAATGCATTTTTGTCTTTTAATTCTTTTCTTTTCAATGCTATTTGTGCTTATTGTGTTTGTTGTTTTTCTACTTTAAAGGAAAACAAGATTCTATTTTCTTTTCCAAATACGTCAGTATTAAACGAAGTGCAACATTTTTGTCTTTTAATTCTTTTCTTTTCAATGCTATTTGTGCTTATTGTGTTTGTTGTTTTTCTACTTTAAAGGAAAATAAGATTCTATTTTCTTTTCCAAATATGTTAGTATTAAACGAAATGCAACAAAAAGAGACGAAAGATTCTTTAGTAACATATGAACAAAAACAATATCGCTTCTATTTTATCATCATACCACATTTTAAGCATACCATAAAAATAATAATAATAACTGAATCTAATGTTCAGAATTAAACATACGAATATAATTTTTGTGTACTCTATTATAGGTTTTTCAAGAAAAAAAAAAAAAAACAACCTAATAAGTAATCTCCCTGGACAAGGTACTTCACAGTAAGGCTCTTCAGAAAAACTGAACTAAAAATTAACAGTTTAGACGGTAAAAACTGAGAAAAAAATATTTTAAAGCTCGCTGGATTGGAAAATTTTACACAATCTGTATGTGAAGTTACGAACTACAAGTACCAGAACAGCGGGACTCCTCCTTTTTCTCCTCATCTGTTTAGGTGAATTTCAGGATTGAAACAATAACTTTCAAAAATAAATTATCCATATACGAGTACTAATGACGGATTCCATGATCTCTCGGTGCAACATGTCGGCCTTCAAATAAACTTTCCGCTTATCCGTCTCGATTCTTTTGCACAAGGCCAGACAGCGAGTAACTCCTGCTAAATAGGAAACACTGGTAAAATATACCACTATATTGTTACTTGTATGCTGAGCAGCACAGGCCTCTTCCTCCCACCATTTGTTAATTTTAAAGAATGGGAAAGTGTATAATGTGCGCCTACTACTTCGAACGGCTGAGGTATTCTCGCATATTCTTGTGGATTTCCGCTTTGACAATCAGACGCATCTTCTTCGAGTCCTCCCACAAGAAACCGTTACCTTCCCGTGCAAATTCACAAGCACCCTCAAAAACTTCCTGCTAGTCGAAAGGATAAATATATGAGACATAATCTTAATGATACAAATATAGCAAGATATATCTTTCTGACAAGTTGGATAATCACCCTCGAAGGAAACTCGTCGTAACAATGGGCAGGGATCATCTCAACCCTGTTCAGATCTGCCTCCCACAACCTCATCTGTCACGTTAGATTGCATTTCTTACGATCAAAACAGAAGACGAAACTTCAAGCAAAAGAGAAAAACAAGATTAACACAGAAATGATTTTATAGCAAATAACTAAGCAATATTACTCAAATAAACGACTGTGCCATGTATTGTAAACAACATTTCTGTTTCGTGAAATTGTGAAGCACAGAGTTTCTCTGTCGCAGAGACTCGACAGGTACAAAATTAAATCAATTGCATCTAACAAGTAATCTTGACCTGATCAGTAACATTCTCAGGTACAGATGGTATTCTTTCCGCAACACGAGGATGTGCATTTTGCTGAAGAAATGAAATTATCTGCCACGGCAAAAAACATCATGAGAGAAAAAGGAAAAAGCGATACACTGCATCTCGAAAACATGCCAGCATGAGCTATGGTATGCAATATTCTCCTCAGCAAGCTCTTTTGCTATAAGAAACGTAAGATTGATGTTGATTGTTGAAATTGTAGAGAGCAAGACAAACAATAATAAGCAGCCAGATTTGCACATGTACTTAACAAATTAGAGCACCCCATTCTAGGGGAGTGTTGCGGCATAACACAAGCAAGGAAACGAAAATCTTTGTGATGGGGTAAAAAAATTCCCACAATGTAATGAGCATGCTAAACCTTGAATTGTAATATGCCCTTGATTGAACCAAAACTCGAAGCAAAGAAATCAAATACATTAGATAAGAGTATTTTATGTTTTATAACAAAAACATTGAATCCTACCGGGGCTCTTATGCAATTCATACTCATTCAAAATAAGTCCAACGCAAGCATGGAGGGAATTTTCTAAAAACCAACACCCTTTCCCCACCCACCTCAAGACAATCTGAAGCAACGCACTAAATTGGGCATATGAAAGTACAAACGTATATAAATGAATGAAAAGAAAATTATTTTAAAAAAAAAACGGAACAGCTCCTCACCTGCTCAGCAGTAATGCCATTTTCAAAAGCGTTGTATAAGCTTTCTTTTGTTATTGCCGCAACTATCAGGTTTGGAAGCTGATATTCTATCCTGCACATGTAAGACTAGTGACGCATTATCTCATATCACACAGAAACAGGTAACAGAAAAGAGCACATTTCAAGTTCTGAAACAGAAGAAAAAAAATTGTAAAAAACTTGTATGATCAAACTAGCTGTTTTTTTTTTTTTTTTTTGGATAAATAGTATAAATAGCTAGCTTATTTAACTGACGACCTATAGTAGGTATAATCGACATAGGCAGACAAAAGTGCCACTCATATAACCAATGTAAACTCAATTCAATGATAGTCCAGGGTAAAATATATCATTATTTGATAATCAGTACAGCTAAAATCATTCCTCCGCATTTAGGTCTAACATCACCAGCTTCTACCCGGGAAGGGGAAAAAAAAAAAAGAAAGTTTAACATCACCAGAAAATTAGTAATCAAAGCACAAGTGTAACCTTCAAATGAACCTGATCCAGTTTAAAACAAAACGCCAACAGAATCACTAGCTGAAAATATAATACCTAGAACTTGATAAACGGAGATGTTAGAAAGCAACTTATTGCACGTATATGCCCAAATAGAGGAATGAAAACATAGTAAAAATGAAACTACATGAACAACATATAAAGATTGGTTGGCGTACCTTGAGAAAAGACGCAAAATTTCACAATGTAATTTAGAAGTTGAGTAGGCATACATCCTAAAGTTTGTTTCGACAACCACAAATCCCTGGAAAAAATAGGGGAATAAAATTTAAATAACCAAACATGGCCTTGAATAGACAAATATCAGCAGTATTTTCTAAACGGGAATTGGTTGTGTGTGTTGGGGGGGTGGCAGCGGGAGATAGAAAAATATTGGTTTAGTTAGGACCGGGAATTTAATGTCTCACTAATAAAATAAACTGCAAAAAGTTAAAAGATTTTAACCTGTTTCCGTGATGACGAATCTGTTAAGCTCATAGAGAGATTTGTAGCTAATTTTGATGGTATAAACCAACTCTCCTTCCTACCCTGGAAAAATAAAAACCAAAATATTGAGAACTTTAATGAAGTCTATTTAACTGTCATTTGAGAAACTATATGCCCATTCTTTACCAAGAATCACACACAATATTATAACCTGCTGAAGTTTCACTAATCCCAAGTCTGCAAGGTCCTTGATTGTCTCCCTCTGAATATCGGTCAAGGAGCTGATGTTATAGGCCTAACAAATAAGGAACGAAGTGAGCTCTTAGAGAAAACTTTGCAGAAATGTTAGCCAAGAAATAGAATAAGCAATTTATCATTGCAAAAGATCAAATATTACGGAAACAGAAATCAGAACCAATGGTTCTACAAGGAATCAGAAAATCAATAGATCATACGCTTCTACAAATTATGTGGAAAAAAAGTGAAGTACAAAAAAGTATATAACTCATACCTCACCGGTGACATGAAAACTAAGCTCTAGAAGGAATGAAATCAAATCTGCTGGATCTACACCTCTATCCTGCACCAAAAACAGCCAGAAAGCGTATAGATTCAAAATGGGATTTATGATCAACTAGTATTCTATAAAATAAAACTCATGTTGCACTTCCTATTAGTTCAATCTCAAAAAATAAAAAATAAAATAAAAAGAAAAAAAGAAAGCGAAGTGTCTAGCATAGCCGGTCTCAATTTCCACCTATTTACCAACTCACAAAACACATCAGGAAATCTGTCTCCTTTCTTTTTCCTCCTTAAAACAATATAGTTCCAAACAAAGTATTAACCCATTAGAACATATATATATATATATATATATATATATATATAGCAGCACAAAACAATTATCAATTAAATGAACACCAAAGATCTAGAATAATCATACGTTCTACAATAATGAAAGTGTGACTAATGAGATGCAATCAAAACGTCTGTCCTAAACCATACTTTTCAAATTATAGACAAAATTTATGGAGTAACCAGGATAATGAAGCCTAATACAAACAAAAGAACACAACATTCACCACCAATAAGGATTTCACGAGTACATACCTCAGAGTTAGAGATATATTCTCTGATAATATACCAAAGTTGTGCATTTGTATCCATAAGCTGTGAGTTGCATAAACCAAGAGTGATATCTTGTAAGAGACATCATATTTTGAAAGGGACTCGAGAGATCTGAATATTCATACCAAGAACTGGAAACCACTTTCTGTCAAGCGTGGAGCTTCTTTATCCCTGTATAAATGACGAACATAAAGCATCAAATAAGATACAAATACCGATTCTCATCAACCTTTCCATACATGCAAAATAAATCAGGTTCATATATCTAATGACTAATTGCAAAAGAAAAGGACCTCTGAGTCAAAAGGCCACGCTGGAAAACTTTCATTGTGGAAGAGCTGATGTTCGATGGTCTTTCAGCTTGGGATGAGTTTATAAGTTGCAACATGAAACACTGGTTACACAGGACAACACGTCAATGAGAAAGATAAACCTAATTCGCGAAACGCAACAACGGGCAGTTCAATAAATTTATTGACCATCACTAGATACCACACAGTCAACATTGCAAATAAGAATAACGATAATATCCTACAAATATGGCAGCAGCGAAACAAAATTTCATTATGCACCTCCCATTGTTCAATGGCAAAAACATCAAGCTCCTCCAAGCTTGGTAGCCTTGCTGTAATACTGCTAGGTAGTGGTTCTCCAGGCAAAACTTCACTGCGACATCCAAAGATAAGATGGTCATGGTCCTCAAACACATTTTTTGTGAAACACCATGTTTAAAGTTAAGTGTTTTGAAAATTAAATTCAAGCATATTCAGGTACATAATAACAAGCGTAGCTTTCTTTATTTCACTAAGAAATTTAACTTATCAAACAACTGAACTAATGCTTACACGAAACCTGACAGCAAAAGGAATATAGTATCACAAATCAAATGCATGATACAACTTCACAGGATGCTTAACACATGGGAAAAAAATGCGTTCCAAGATTCAGATAGTAAAGACCTTGCACCTTAGACCCAAGTATCCTAAAAGGAACAAAGAGCCAGGGTCTTGATTTATACTTGTACTGTCCCAAACTACTTTGATTGCAGCAACTCACTCCAGTTAAATCTCAATGGAGAACACACGCAATTTAACTTGTAAGAGAAGAAAAGGAAAAACCCACAACCGAATCAAAACAAAGAACTTACCCACTTACTAAAAGCTTCTGAAGGTTACTCTGAAATACTGGATTTAATCTATAACTTGTTTCCCTTTTCCTGCCAAAAAAAAAAAAAGAAAAAAAAAATAAGGGGGGTCGGAACTTACTTGACTGTATGGTTCAAACCATGAAAATTAACACATTAATCTCACTTTCGTTTGTAAAATCGTCAAAAAAAAAAAAAAGAAGAAGGATTTTTTCCATTTATCACCTGTCGACAGTTTCAGTGAATATTCTCAACTGAAGCAAACGATCAACGGCGACTTTGTGCTTGGAGGCTCCATCTGCGAGTACCCACTCCTGCATCGACTTGGCGCTTATCGGACCGTCAATGCACAGCATCTGCAGAACATATTTCTTCGCCAGAGGAGGCAGCGACCTATATCATCATCATCATCATCCGATTTTTCTTAAGAAAATCAATTGGATTAATAAACGCCAGGTTTGATATGACTATAATGATGCTTAATTTGCGTAAATTCGCATGAATTATCGTAATCAATGCATTTTTCTATATTCAAGAAAGATTAGGCATTCATAATCGAAGGTGAGTAATGTGAGAAAAAGAGCAGAAATTTTGGAGGAGAGAGAGGAGGACCTAAGAATGGCTTCGCAGATGAATGCATTGGAGTAGAGATTGTCGAGCTTCATGGCAGGCAACGAGGCCACCATGTCCATGAAGTTCTTGGCTATGATCCTGACCTGAGGCATTCTCTCTCTCTCTCTCTCTCTCTCTCTTAAATTTCTAGGGTTTAGCAGAGTTTCCAGGAAAATCGTAAGAGGGAGGCAAAATCGCGTCGTCGTATTCCGCTTTCCTCCGGTGAGCATGAGTCACAGTGTGTGCCGGCAATTATATATAAAGCTTTATTCATTGGTGGCCTATTTTATTGAAGAAAAAAAAAGAATGCTAACAGATTTATAAAACTAACTTAAATAGATAAATATTTAAAATTATTTAAAATAAATTTTAGTAGTAAAAGATTTTATTCACATAAATTTTTTTTTACTATTAATAAAAAAAAATTTTGTTTTACCACGTAAATTATTTTTTACGAGTTATAAATAAAATCGTTATACAATAATGCTATTTAGTTCAAATATTTTTAAAATTTACTATTTACTTAATTTGGTTTTAAAAATCTACTCTTTACTATAATTTTTTTTTTAAAGAGAAAATGAGAGAAGTCCCCCGGAAAACATGTCAGTTATTCTACATACATTAAACGACATGTCACAATAAACACATTTGTTTTATTTTATGCATTTTATGTAGTTTTTTCTTCTCATTTCCATACCTTGTATTTTGAGATTATCAGAAAATTATACGACCGTATTTTTTCTTAAGATCATACCATGATTTGTTCAATTCTTACGCTTTCCAAGCCAATGCTAGATTTTGACGAGAATAATAGACATAAATGTCCTAAAAATAAAAGCTAAAAAAGTTAAAATCTAAAAATAAAATAAAAATGATCATGAACAGAAGCAAAAGAAAAAAAAGAAAAAAGAAAAAAAAAAGAAAGCAAATCATGAGAACTCGAACTCGTCCGTATATGCGAAAAAATGGGTTTGTGAGTTGTGTTTGCGACTTGTGAGAGTGGTCGGGGTGGAGTGCCATTGTCTAGCTAGGGTGAGGTGGAATTGGTGACTATTTAGCTTTGGGACTTTATGGAGTATTTTGTTTTCAATTAATGTGAAAATGGCTAAATTTACTTTAGAGTGTACGTCTCTTAAATTTTATTATTTATTCTTAATTAATATTTTTTTTACTAATATAGTTAGTTGATTAAAAAATTTAAGAATAAAAATCAACACTTATACTTTAAAGGATATTTGTCTTCTTTCTCCTTTAATTATCGTTTTTATTAAGACCGCGTAGGTCATTTAACAGTCAAAATACGTCGTTGTTTGAAAAAGGTAGAAATTGAGTAGAAATTCAAAAGATAAAGATAATAAATATGTAATAATTCACAATATAAGGTATTATTGTTTTTTATAATTTTAAAATACACGGTATTAAAATTAAAATCTTTTTATACATGGAAAATCCTTCTAAAGACCCTCCTTCTTCCTGTAAAGCCCTACTTGTTTTGCCTCTCTTATTATACAAATAAAGTCGGTTAATTTTAAAGTGTTACTAGGTTAGACAGAAGGATCCACCTATATTTTCTTTTTGTTATTTTGCGATGCCGCACATTTTAATTGTTGGCAGTTTGGCACCTAAGTGTAATACTTTGAGATCCTATTCATTTTACCGATTTGAATTTAAAATTTGAGTTTTATTACAATAAAAAGCTTTAAAAACAGTTACATTTAATTTTTTTACTACAATAAAAAAACTCTTACATAAAGTCACATCTCAATTCAAATTAAAAATTTGAATCAGCGAACTAAACAGACCCTGAAACTTCAAAATTAGAGGCTTGATACACAACTTTCCTCCTTTATTAGGGACCTAAATGTGACACTTTTAAAAGATTGGTGACGGGGCCTAAAGAATCCTTTGACAAAGGGGATTAATAATCCTTTGATGTTGTCCTTCGCTTATTTTGTCGTCATTTCTGATTTGTTGTCTCAATGTTTACATTTTTATTTTACTGTCTTTATATTAGCGTCGTTTCCAATTTGCTGTTGTTCCATTTTCGTCGTGCCCTTCTCGTCGGCTTTTACTTTGTTGTCGTTTATGAAGGCAATTACGTTTTCGTTGTCATTTATAGGTCTGGTCGTCATTCAATTTACTTGCTGTTTTCGAATTTGCTGTCCTTTGCCCTCTCCAGTGGTTTTAATTTATTGTCTTCTGCAGGTTGTAGTTGTTTAGTGATACCTATTCCATTTCGAATAAGCAAATTTGTCAAACCAAAAAAGATCAACAAGCAAATACTTTTTTAAAAATAAATAAAAAAGAAACCTTAGAAACGACGACAAAGAAATGAATTATGTATAAATAATGCTGAAGCTAGGTGCAAGACGACGTGAAAAATATTTGATCAGTTGAACTTGTAGCTGCTAAAAGACCTTGTCCGTGTCAAGCTGATACAAGTATCTGCATTGCTTGCTCGATTCTGAGTACAGTAAATTGTACTATATTGTTTTCGTATGAAACTCGTCGAATTACACCGAGCTACTTACTCTAAGAAAAACAGAAAGAAATTGGAAGGCAAACCAATTTAGAGTTTACTGTTTCATGCTACCAAAATGCCTGGGAAACCAGATGTTAGGTGACTTTTGGCCAGAGGGATCGAATGAAGGACACGAAATGCGAACCTTGCTCAACAAAAATGATCCTGCAGACCAAACTGAAGTGTGGGATAGGACTTGAAATGGTGGGCGAAGAAATTTCCTGCAAGTTGTTTAGGTTACTATCTCGATAGCTAATAGCAAATGTTGAAAGGTTTTGTTCAGCTCTCCATTATGCAGAAGTGCTAAGCACGTCTTCAGTCGTTTGTTTGGGCTCAACGCGTGGTGAGGCTGGCTTTTTTGGAACAGGAGGAGGCTTAGGTGGCCTCTTCGGACGAACTTTATCAACTTCCTCTCGGGGAATATCAAACTGCAACATGCCAATAACTCATTGAGTTACGCAAATGAGACAAATGATCAATAGTCACCAAAGAAAAAAATAGGAAACATCGATGACTCTTGGGACATTTTAACCAAGGGCAATATTGTGTTATGGAAAATAATGATGTAAAAGTAAAGTTTCCTGTTATGAGTACATGCAAGAAAGGTAAGATTATCACCCTGGGCTGGTGTTAGGTGCCAAGTTTGCCAGTTGACTATGGCATGTGCAATGAATTTTGAAAAGCTTTTATGGTCAGACTAAAAACAAGTAGACGATTGCAAGACACTCCCATTTCTAAGAACTACTTAAAAGCTGGGAACATGATGCAAACCAAGTTTTCTGCAATGAGCAATCACAGTCTTTATTTCAAGCACTGGCGGAAAGTTCCCTTTAGTAGCTACGATGAACTAAAAGGCATGCTACTTCTGACCTGAGCAAAAGAGTTACATTTGCAAATTCCTTGAAACAAGTCATTATGAACGTAACCTTTCAGTGACTTAAAAGTTCATGCGTAGAACACTAAATGGAACAAATAATATGCCACAAAAAGATAACTCCATGAGAATGATCTAACCTTATAACCACAGCCGGATACACAAGAAAAGAAGCATTCCTGTACAAGGAGATTGTCAACAAAGCGTATAAAAGAATTTTGATCTGTCGGATATGCTCTATTAAAAAATTACAGTGAATTAGCAAATCTATATATATTAAAAAATTTATACATAAGATTCATGCTATTAGCACTTGTTCTTTAACAAGGTAAAGATGTTGGCAACTTAGCCTTAAGATCGTATGTATCCGAGGACAGCATACACCCATGAAAAAACCAGTAAAATTTCAGCAGGCATTTAGGAGGGAAAAATGAAGGAAATGTATGATACCTCTGAGTATCTGTCAGCTCCCGGAGAGCGGTCAATGTAAGCGCTCCACTGCTGGTCCTTTAACACTGGGTCCTTGTAGCATATCTCTGTGCATTCATCCAAACCTAAACACCAAGCCGATATATAATAAACCTTGGTGAAAAACTCTCTGGTAATGGTGATTTGTTTCGACATTGAATATTTAAATTATGATACCAGACATCTCCCATATTAACACAACACGCAGGAATTGTTTCATCTAGAACCTTCAACAAAAGTGAACTGAGCTAGTGCCTTATAGAACTGTGAGAGGCAGCATTCCAAAGAAAAGGGATACATACAATTGCAAGGTACACTATTTCAAATATATGCTTCATTATTTTAGCAAAGAGAAAAATGGAAGTTCCCAGCTTCCTTTTAAAACAAATAAACTGAAACTCCCATTTGAAACCAAATTTGGATCAGGTTCAAAACCTCAAGTAGAAAACAACAAAATCGGCACAAGATTATAGGATGAAAAGGAAAAAGGACGTCCTCAAATCTAAACCAAACGATGGGCAGAAAGTTTCATGTACAAAATTTATACATTCCAAAATGACAAATACAGTGAAATTTTTCTTACATTCTTCCCAACTCTCTCCATCAGTGCCGCACCCCTTTTTGCAGAAGACACGCCCTACCAGAAGCCATTCAGATTACAATGATCAAATAAAAACTCAAATTCGTAGAATCTCATTATGTATCATATAAAAAATACAAATACAAGAGGGGGAAAAAGTTTTCACTGCTCTACAACAATCATCATGTCACCAGAAGTGGCCATATAATCTTAACGCAAACTAGACATAGACGTATATGTATGTAATGTATTCCCATTCAATCATCAAATATTGCAAAAACCACCAATCCTCTTAGGATGCCCCAGGTGTGATACTTTGTAGCCCCATTTTAGGATCCCTGTCTGGCCAATATGATGGCATGAGTGAAAACTAAGTCTACTCTTTAAGTAGAATTCGGTTAGGTCCTTTCCATTTCATTGATGGACCCACCATTTCCAAAGCGACGGAGGAGATTGGGGCGGATTAGCACCAATATCCCTTTTTTTCAGAAAAAAAAAAAAA